CATTATAGAGAGAAAATTTCGAAAGAGAAAATTTCGGACCGGTCACTTTAGAGAGAGAAACATTATAGAGAGAGAAATTTTAGAAGGATATCGATTGCCGCTTAGAGAGAGAGAAATTTTAGAAGGATATCGATTGCCCGCTTAGAGAGAGAGAGAAATTTTAGAAGGATATCGATTGCCCGCTTAGAGAGAGAGAGAAATTTTAGAAGGATATCGATTGCCCGCTTAGAGAGAGAGAGAAATTTTAGAAGGATATCGATTGCCCGCTTAGAGAGAGAAAATCTAGAAGAGAGCGATTGGAGAGGAACAGGTCCGAAGAGAGAATTCAGTGACGCGTTTACCGTCGGATCAGTCTTTAGAGAGAGAAAATCTAGAGTGATAGTGATCCTGTATTTTAGAGAGAGAAAATTTCGAGAGGAGACAGCCCGGGGTGACAGATTCAGACATATTAATAGTAGAGAGATAAAATATAGTGATATGTTCAGAATCTAGAGAGAGAATATCAGGATATAACTACGTTGTTATCATAAAAAAAACTATTTTCATTGGAGTTCTCAACTTTTGGCGACGGAAGGGAGCAGAGACCTCTCTATAAAAAACGCCACTTTCTCTCGCTTGATCCATTTTTCGAGCTCCTTGCCTTAAGGTTAGGGTTTTGAACATTTTTTATTTTCAGATTCTGTTAAGAATATGGTTTTTTTAAATAATGTTTTTGATTTAGCAGCAATTGATTCTATTTCTTTTCGTTTGGCTAATTTATATGAGAATATTCACGGTTTGGGGTTCATATTTCTGGGATTTTGGGCGTCTTCTGGGGTGGTTTTTAATGTTTATCGTGTGATTTGCATAAGGGTATCATAATTTGTTAGATTGTAGCTAAATAAGATCAAAGTTTAGGGTTTTGTTTTGTTTTTGTTTCCTTTCAGAAAGGTAGCTGGAGAGAAGTTAATCGTTCTTGTACTTTATGAGATCAAAATTGGTGATTTTAGGGTCTGTTACCCTTTCTCAGAATAGCTGCAGAAGAACATCACATTATTAGGGTTTTGATTGTTTCTCAGATCAGAAGCAGGAGGAGAAATACAAGGTATACGTCTCATTTTAAGGGACACCAAATTTTCTTGCGTTTTAGAAGATTAGAGTGCTATCTTACTTGAAGAATTCAAACCTCTCTTTTCAATAGAAAGGAGATCTTTCTACTGTGAAACTAAAGAAAAGAATTTGTGGTAATTTTCCTCACTTTTTTGTTTTGTTTTGTTCTAAAAAGAAGCAGCAATGGAAGAAGTTGATCACTTGGATTTTGAGAGGAAGACAGCTGAATTCGATGTCGATGCCATGAAGATTGTGTGGGCTGGTTCTCAACATGCCTTTGACGTGAATGATAGGATGGCCCGTCTTGTTGCGAGTGATCCGGTTAGTGCTCTTGCCCATTTTTCTTCCCTGCAATTTCTTCTTTAACTGCATTTGAACATTATGTTTTCTCTCTTATTTTCTGCAATTTATGCTTAATTTTTTTCTTTTGTATTTTTTTTGTTGCATTGATTACTTGGTCTTGTAAATTGTGCAATCTTTTAAATTTCAATGTTTTGCCATGCTTTCGAAAATTGGATCGCCCAGCGCCCGCCTAGGCGGATATCCCTGCGTGCCCACCTGAGCCCGCATAGTCTGCGCCAATGCGGCTCCTTGAGCCCTCCTTAGGGCTCCTTGAGGGTATGCGCGCCCACCTGAGCCCGCATAGTCTGTGCCAATGCGGCTCCTTGAGCCCTCCTTAGGACTCCTTGAGGGTATTTTTGTATTATTGGGTCATTTTGTTAATACTAAAGGGTTAAAGTTATGTTAGAGGCTATTTAAGAGAGAGAAAACCCAATTTTTTTTTTTGTTAGAGGCTATTGTAGAGAGCGAAAACCCAAAAAAATATATTTTGTTAGAGGCTATTGTAGAGAGAAAAAACCCAAAAAAAATATTTTGTTAGAGGCTATTTTAGAGAGAAAAAACCCAAAAAAAATATTTTCGCCTTAGGTTCTAGGCGGTCTAACCCCCGACCGCCTAGGTGCTGCCTACCGCTTTTTGAAATACTGGTTCGTGCTTAGTCTTTGTAATTTCTGGTGTATTTTCTTTTATTTTATTGTTGTACACATTTGGTATTTCATTGTTTGGTATGCATTTGGCAACTTGAGTCGAAAAGTTGGGTTTTTTTGTCAAAATCCAATAAAATTTGGATTGAATTTCAGCCAGCTAATGAAAAGAAAATTACAATTCAGGAAATTTGATTGATGCTAGCTTTTTTTTTGTTTTTCCAATGGTTGATTGGTTTCTTCTGCAAAATCCAGAATTCGGAAAAGATTTGGACTGGGCTTCAGCCTAAAAGGGTAAATGTTTGGAATATATTGTACCGATGAACTGGATTTTCAATAAAACAGGCCAAATAGTGGTTCATTGGCAAAGCAACCTTTTCAGATGTATCTTTTCCATTTTCCAGCTAGAGAATTGAGGTGTCGATGGTTGGTTGGCCCATTTTGTCATTCCAGCCCAAAGTTCCCTGAATCTGGAGCAAGATCTTAACTTCTGTTTCTTTATTGTATTTTATTTTTTATTACTGAGTTATTTAACTGTGCTTGGATTTCTCTGTGGTGAAATTAGTAAATTTGTATTTTTATTCATAATAAGCAATGGTTAATTTGCTAAAATTTGTTGCTTTTCACGGGGCTGAAGGTGTCTGGATTCTGTCATATAAACCAATTTGATTTTTGCATTTTCTTTCTTTTTTGGTATTCTAGCTGTAGGATTTGAACACGACACAGTTTTGAAATCATCAACGCCAAACTAATCAAGACAAATTCTGCTAAAGTTTTGCTAAAACCACACTTTTCGAGCATATTCTTTTGTATAATTAGTAAATGTATTTATTTTTTAAAAGGATTTGAGTTTCAAGTCACAATTTTGTGTTTGTTCCATTTAGACATTAAACTGGTGTTGATAGTTTGTGTTGCCATTAAAATTGTTTTTGTCCAAGGCATGCTTTCATTCTTTGGTTGAGTAGTCACTTGATGACTTAAATTTTCAATATGTCATCTGCGTATACTCATTATAGATAGAAGACATTTCATTATGGGAACATTTGTTTCGACAGGAAGCTCTCTCTGGAGAGTTGGTTGTAGGAGAGAGCTTTCTGTCAAATAGAAAGCACTTCCATAACTAAATAGGTATGAAAGTCCTATCCCCCAAATTGGTGCAAAATTACATAGCGGTGCTGTTTTGGGTGCATTCTATGAAAGTGTTTTCCCATGAAACAAACATGGGAGGTGAAACTGTTAGTTTCATAGAAAGAATTCTCTGGGACAGAGCTTCCATCAGGACAAATGTGGCTAGAAGCCGTGCATTTTCTTTAAATATTTTTCATCAGAAAATGATTGATGTAAATATTTTCCCCTTTATTTGAGTAATTGTCATGCATCTCTTATTTTCAGAGCTACAATGTGTGAGCATCTCATGTCTTGAATTTACCAAAAACAAATTTAGTTGGTTTTCAAGTTTGTAAATGTGTTTGTTAGTCTATGTAGCATTTATGTGACCTCAACTATTTTGATCGGCTTGCTTGTGTCTCATCTAGCCATTTTCTTTATGATTAGGCCTTCCGCAAGGATGAGAGACCTATGTTGGGAAGGAAAGACTTGTTCAAGAACACCCTAAGAAAAGCAGCCCATGCATGGAAGCGTATTGTTGAACTCCGTCTTTCTGGTATGCCAGAATTCTTAAATTAAGCGTCTTGGTGTTGGTACGCCAAAAAAGTAAATGAATTTTAGACTGAAAATTTTGTTTTATGATGCTCTTAAACATCTGTGTGTTGAATACATACAATAGCAGTGCTCTGCATAATCGTATGGACAGTTAAACTGTTACTATAGGAGTAACAGTTCAAGTTTCTTGTGGCTTATTATAACATTTCTTTGTTCTGTGTGAAGCTAATCTACTGACCAATTGTGTAGCAAACAGGAGGCAATTAGAGAAGCTTGGGGTTTATGGATCTCCTGCATGAATTGTTCTTGATTTTTATACAATCTGGCTTCTTCCAGCTCATTTAATGCATTAGGAAATCAGATTCTCTGGTGTCTAGAAGGCTATTGTTTATATTGGCAAGGTTTTTCTCTTTTGAATTCCTCTGACAAAAATATCAATTTTATCTTGACAGAAGAAGAGGCTTCTAGAGTCAGGTTTTTTGTGGACGAACCTGCTTATACAGATCTTCATTGGGTGAGTACATTAATATACTAGCTGTCCTTCGTCCTTGGTGCTCAACCGGTATACCTGTTTTGAAACACCAAGTGGAAAGATAATTAATTTGTGTGTAGCAAATTAATGTAAAAAATTCGTACAGTTTGTTATCCCAAGAATGGAAACACTCTCAAAATCAAGTTACATTCATAGTGTAAAAAATAAATAATTTTTCTCAAAGAAATACTATCACTGAATTCAATGCCAAAGAGGATTCAAGATGATATACAATAAGAGCAAAGAAACAACAATCAACCTCCTAGATATGTGTCCAGTCACTATGGAACAACACCCAACTTCTGAGTCACTCAGAAGATATGGTTCACAAACATATTTTGATGGTAGAGTATTAAGCTTCTCTTTTTAGTTTGTCCACTTCTTAACTTTTGTGTGTGTGGATGGGTGCATGCATGCCTCAATATTCTTCTAAGAGTCCTTGTTTAAAGTACACTGGACTGCATATTACTGCTATTTTTGTGTTAGTTTTTATTTTTAATGCAATTCATCATTCTGTAGGGAATGTTTATACCAGCAATAAAAGGGCAAGGCACTGAAGAGCAACAGAAAAAGTGGTTGTCTCTGGCTTATAGGATGCAAATCATTGGTTGTTATGCACAAACTGAACTTGGACATGGATCAAATGTTCAGGGACTCGAAACAACAGCAACATATGATCCAAAAACGGAGGAATTTCTTATCCATAGTCCTACCTTAACTTCAAGCAAAGTGAGTTATGGATTACCCTGGTGGGTTTTTTCCTCAAGATTGTTTATGTTCTGCTTCTTCGTCATATTTCTGGAAATTTACATTAGGTCTAATCACATGTATGCCAAGTGAGAGCCGCTTCTGTAATATTGTATAAGAACTAGTGCATATTAATATGGAAATTCTTCTGTTTCCTTTTTTTTTCCTTTTTTTCTTTTTTTTCTTCCTCCCCTTTTTCTGGGTATAGTGGTGGCCTGGTGGCTTAGGAAAGGTTTCAACCCATGCAGTCGTCTACGCTCGTCTCATCACTGATGGTCAAGATCATGGTATTCATGGTAATGTTACTGCTTTGCTTTCGTTATTTTATATCAAAGGAGGCATGTGAAATCTTTTACATTTTAGATTCAGAGACTTAAAACTGAAGCTTTTCTAATGTTACAAGCTCACCTCTTACTTCCAGGTTTCATAGTTCAATTGAGGAGTTTAGAAGATCATTCACCTCTACCTGGTATAACTGTTGGTGATATTGGAATGAAATTTGGAAATGGTGCATACAATACTATGGATAATGGTGTTCTACGGTTTGATCATGTGCGCATACCAAGGAACCAAATGCTGATGAGGTACCTTTAAATTTCCTGCTTACATATTCATTGGAAACTAAGATGTATGTATATCTATACAGGTACGAGGAGCGATGATATGATTTGGCATTTTCTAAAATCCATGACATGAATATGTACAAGTGTATCTTGTCCGACTGAGTGATAAATATATATTACAGAATTCATGAGGCATAAATATATGCATTGTGCCATATAGATACTAATATATGTTGCGTATCCTGGTACTAAAGACATTAGGCATATACAAGTATCCGGGTATCACAGATAGCAAACATTTTCCTTTTTCTTTTCTTCCATGATGATGGGGTCTGGATCTTATGAACCAACCTCCATTATTATCATTCTCATTGGTTTTTCCCTAGTAAACTTGTTTCCAGAAAGCATGGAAATTAGTCAGTTTGCCATATGCTTATGCCCAGTTAGCTTTGATTTCCTTATAGTATCATGTCAATTTACAATATCATGGGAGGGATGGTTTTTGTTAAAAAATCATACTTATCAAACCTTTCCTGTTTGTCATTTATCAAGGCCACCCTGTTCGACATTTTTGTCTCTTTTTAGAGGCTCTATGGTCATGTTCTAAATGTTGGTGCACCTCAATTTCATTTTGAGCGGGAATGGACGTCCTATGGGAGTTTTCTAAATATGATGGAGACCCGACCTTTTTGGTTGGTGTCTAGCTTGTGGTTAACAATGATGAAATGTTGGTCGCCTGGGCACCTAGGCGGCCTGGCCGATAATCCACCTAGGTGTAGCCTAGGTGTGATGTCTCTCTCTCTCTCTCACACACACCCACACACACACACACACACACACACACACATATACACACAAAGACACACATAGACCCATATGCTATCTCTTTACATGTAAGAAGAAGAAAAGGAAGATGACGTGAAGTAGTCAATGCGAGGTCCTGCCTCCTCCTTTTTGAACATTGGTGGTGAATTGTTTCTATGAACCATTACTAATTGAGGAGCTTCTGTTCGGGGGTCTTGGGAGATATAATGGACTTACTTCGGGGGTAATAATCCGTATGACCTATACTGAAGGATACAAATTCCAATGTGAATTGAGGGTAACTGGTATCTCTTATTTTTTATTATTAAAGTATGGGGATGGCAACACAGATCTTCCCATGCAGTAATCCATCCTAAACCTGCTCTTGCACAAATATGTTCGACTTTGGAATTCTATTGGGGTCTGGTCCTGGAGTGCGTGTTAAGCCAACCAAGATTGGGCCTGTGAAATTTTTGGATAGTTTAGAGTACTCCAATTCCTATTTAGTTGCAAATAAGAAATACTAAAACCAACATAACTGGAGGTTTCATAAGCTGAGAGATACTTAGGTGTCACTTCATGTAAACATCAGGTTCCACTGCTGCTAGGTTTCATGGTTCCAATCTTACTTTTTTATGGTATATGGATTTCTAGCTCTTATTAAGCTCCTTTTATGTTAGCCCTGAAAACTCTCTCTGAAATGAAAGAAACAATCTATAACTATCTTGTCAGTTAAATACTAATAAGAATTTATGGGTGCTACAATCTGCTGAAAGTTTGTTCGTTACTGCAGGCTCTCACAGGTCACAAGAGATGGGAAATATATGCAATCTGAAGTTCCCAAGCAGCTTGTTTATGGTACAATGGTTTTCGTACGCCAAACCATTGTCGCTGATGCCTCAAATTATTTATCACGAGCAGTTTGTATTGCTGTGAGATATAGTGCAGTTCGACGTCAATTTGGATCACATGCTGGAGGTCCTGAGACCCAGGTATAGATTTACTTTTTCCTCTATGAATTCTTCTGGTCAATTTTAATACATACAAGTTTTGTAACATTAGTTCCCAAAGGTAATATTTGAAGCCTAATAACTTCCTACTAATAATCATTTATCCTCCCCCACCCCCACCCCCGCCCCAAAAAAAAAATGAAAAGAAAATTCTAGTACTGTTCAAGAGGAATACACATTAATATGAAGAAAGCTTTCCCGGTTAGTTTTGGTATCGTAGGGAGTGATACTTTCATTCTCCATTCATAAAGTAGTGTAGTAATTTTGGTTATTTATCTTAGAAATGATGATGATGATCATCCAACACTTCTCCTAACTATTTGGATTTCCTACATGATTCCTGTTCCACCATGCTGCTCTATCAAGGGCCATACCCCCAATCAGACTACAGGGAATGCTTCTATAATGTTGGATTAGAATACATGATAGGCATGTGGCAAATGTTTTTTGCTGGCTGCCAAACTAACACAACCTCCTCCTTTCTCATCCGCGCTTGGGACAGGCAATGGCGGAGTTGGTTGTTTAGCTTAAAAATCCATTTCCAAAAAATGTTGGATTTCATGGACATTGAGTTCTCCTCGGTTTTATTTTGGGTGAAGCATTCAGCAATTGGCTGCTTTGAACCATTGATGGTTCTAGTTTATGAGATAGTAGTCTGTTTTATCACTGTTTCCAATATTCAAAAGTTTCAACCGATATCTATTCATTTCTTTGATTTTTTCTTCTATACATGCTATGATCTTTCAATTAGAATTTCTCTGAGGTAAATTCACTTCTTTGCTGCAGGTGCTGGATTACAGAACTCAGCAAAGCAGGCTTTTTCCATTATTGGCATCTGCATATGCTTTTAGGTTCGTGGGTGAGTGGCTAAAATGGCTGTATACGGATGTAACACAAAGATTACAGGCCAATGATTTCTCAACGTTGGCTGAGGCACATGCTTGCACTGCTGGTTTGAAATCGTTGACAACCACAGTAACCGCTGTATGTACACAACCTTGCTTGATTATCTGGGTTCTAAGCTGCCAATGCTGTTCTTTTAGTATATTCTGGTAACAATTGCCTCAATGTAGTTTGAAGATACTTGAGATAATCTGAAGATTGATTCACTTTGTCATCATGTTGCACATCAATTCTGTTATTTTAGTTGTACAACCTTCAGGTGCATTTTTATCTCATCAAATGCTAGCCATGCATACATGGATATTTTACAATGATAGTGTACTTTCCCTGGCTTATATAAATTATTCAAGTATCTGTCTTTTTCTCTGGCATTAAGTTTGATATATGCTTTGTTTCTCATCTATTAATCTTGTTCTACAGGATGGCATTGAAGAATGTAGGAAGCTATGTGGTGGGCATGGTTATTTATGCAGCAGCGGGCTTCCAGAGTTATTTGCTGTCTATGTTCCTTCTTGTACATATGAAGGAGATAATACTGTACTGTTTTTACAGGTTAGGCTACCTGAAAGTTCTTTTTGTGTTGCTTTTGATGTGGGTTTCATTTATTTCACTACTGTACCTTTGCACTCAAAGCATGCATTCGAGATAATTACTGCTCTTTCTCTGGTATGAAATAACGACCAAACTCCTAATCATCAACCAACAAGATTCATACTCAAGGCTGAGAATCCATTGTTTCACTCCAAACTGCTCATCAATTTTCTCTTCCAGAAATGATTTGGTATTCATCCAATTTTGAACATGTTAATTCAGTTATCTTTTTAATACTTGTTACAATGAGTGTCTCTCGCTGTCACCTTAATCTATATCTATTATCTTCATAAGTCGAACCTGGACTCTGCCCGAGTTACTCAGGTTCGACGGGGTGCTAAGCCCTAAATCCCCCAAACTCAAATGATTTTAAACCTGAAATAAATCAGTTATGTTCGAATTTTAATTAGTTTTCAATGTATTTATCATATTTTGTATTTCTTATGGTTTTATCGATTTTCATCATTTTCCTGAGAAAATGATCTTTAACCAAATTTCCAGTTTTTCTTTGAAAACTTTTTTTTTTTCATCTATTGTATACCTTTTTTGTTGTTGAACTTTTTTTCCTGCTTTTCACTGATTTTCCAGGATATTTTCTAATTTATTTGGGTGTTGTTGCCCTTTGGGTAGCTTGGCACAGACTCGACCAGGTCAGGACCGAGTTCTGTGGCCAACTCAATTTTTGAAACACTGGTTGAATCTTTGTAAATTCAACTTATGAAATACCCTTTGGCGTAATGAAGCCCCTTTCTGGGGCCCCTCAGGTGAAAAAGAAAAAATATATTGGCCCAGGGATTTATTTATGGGTGCGGTTTGTATACAGCCTAGGCTCCAAACAATCAATTTAGAGCCTACCTTCAAATAGTGTTGAGAAATGTGGTTTCAATATTGGAAATCTTTGTGATAGCCTTAAAATATATTTTTATTTTGTTTATAAAGTTGAAAGCTTCAAAAATAGTGTAGATCGACAGATCTATGAAAACTTGAAAATCTTGAAAATTGGCAGTCCAAAAATGCATTACAGAATACACTTTCTAGACCTGGAAATCCATTTTTTTCTAATGTCCATACTTCTTGATGTCGGGAAGATATTTTGGCATCAAAACAACCTATTCTAGCAAAATTTTTGAGGTAGGCTCAAATTTAATTGTTTAGAGCCTCGGCTCTATATAAACTTTTCCCTTTATTTATTGACTTCAATAGGACTTGTTTCTGAAATTATTCTTAGCAACTGGTCATTTTCTGATAGTTGTGTTTCACTTGTAGGTTGCAAGATTCCTCATGAAGACCATTTCTCAACTAACATCTGGTATAAAGCCTGTTGGAACTGCTGCATACATGGGGCGGCTTGAGCAATTAATGAAATCTACTTGCGATGCTTGTAGCGGTATATCCCCATCTGTGGTTCAGACTCTACAAAGTTAAAAACTGAAGACACAGGAAAAAAAAGATAATAATATATGAATTGGTGCCTCGAATGCCTGGTTAAATACTGCTGCTTCTCCTGAAACCTAAAATTTTGAAATATTTCCTGGATATATTATTTTTCTGAAAATTCACTTTTGCCCTGCAATTGTTGAGGATATTGAAGAACTTTTTGCAAAAATATAGGACCTCATTATTTTTGAATTTGACCGGTCTTGTGAATGTTTCAAATGCCAAAGTCTGGGGTAATGCATACTCATGGAGATGTCCAAGCCCTTTTAATTTTCCAAAAGAAGAGTTTGTAAATGTTTAGGAAATTACTCAAAAATATCCCTTTAATTGTTGGATAATTCCAAATTACCTAAATCTCCATTTATTTATGCCCATGCCCATTTCTTCCACTTTTCTATTAATACCGATTTTGCCCTTGCTATGGATGTGCTAGATTCATAGCGCATAACAATTCCACAGATCTAACAGATCGGTGGGGCAAAAAATGATTAAAAAGGGGCCATGGACCTATTATTTCCGTGACGGTTGTGGCGTCACAGACCAAATACATCCATCTGTGGTTCTTTGTGGCACCATAGAGCTACGGACCTATTGTACCCGTGGCAGTGTTCGCAAAACCGGCCAATCTAACTGCTAACCGCCCGGTTAGATTGGAACCGGCCAACCAGTAGTTTAAACTTTAAATAAAATACTACTTAAAAATTTATATCAGATATATTAGAATGATTTACTGGTTAGCTTTGACGATTAAGTTTTACCTCAATCACGGTTTGAATCCCGCCGCCAGCGGCGTTTTTTTTTAAGCTTCATTTCGTTGGACTTCAAAAAAATACATGCCCGTTGGAATCGAATTAGAAGAGGTCCTTTAATATTAGGGGCACTAACCAATAGCCATTTACTACTAGGTTGAGAAAAAGATGGGCCTATATTACATAATTTTTTCTTCATTTTCTTTAAAAAAAATGAGTTAGTTAAGTTGATTTTTTTAAGACTGTTTTAATATTCTTTATATTATGGTAATGATTAAAAATTGTCTTGGTCATTAATACTCGATTTTATGTTTTCTCATCTTTTCAAATTTTTTAAAAATACCCCTAGGCACAAATCAATTCGATAAAATCCATATTTTTTATTAATTTTCAACTTCATTCGAGTGTTTTTTTTTTTAATCATTTTTTATATGCTTTTCATATTCTAGTACCATTTTTTTTGTACAATTTTTTTTTTTTAATATTTTTTTTGACCGTCCGGGACTTGCCCTGTTAGAGCGGTTGAATCGGTTGATTTACCGGTTATACCGGTTCGATTTTGGGAACATTGATCCATGGCACCACAAAAGTGCTATTTTGTCTGGTGCTTTGTAGCGCCACAAGCTCCATGGACCTATTGTATCTGTTGCCCTTTGTCGTGCCAAAGCACCATAGATGTATATCTAATCAATATGGATGTATTAGAGCCATGTGGCATGTAGATATAGAGTCTGTAATGGTGCAATGTGGTCATTAGTAAAAAAAAAAATTGGGGAAAACGGGTAGGTGTGTAAAAAAAAAGGGGAGATTTTGGTATATTGGTAACCTCCAAAATTTGAGGGATATTTCTGGTAATTTCTCTAATGATATAATGAACTGTATCTAAAATATATTAAAGCCTGTATGTCTAAAATTGTGATTAAATTTAGCTATTAGTTACTAGCCAAAATCCGATGCACAATATTTCTGTTTATCAGTATAAGTTATTTGACAAAAAACAAATAATTACTTGTCAGATCCAAATAATTTGGCACAAAATGCATCATAAACTCTATTGTAAGAATATCTTTAATTTGGAAATACCTTTTTTATTTTTTTTTAAAAAAATACTTTTTATTTGGTTTTGGGACCATATATTCATAATAGGACTTGATGCACCAGAATTCTGTGTACTATTTCCTACGAATTAATGAAAAAAATAAGCATCCTATTTCCTATGAATTTCATGGTTTTAATTCAGCTGAGGACTGGTTGAAGCCATCTGTTGTATTGGGAGCATTTGAAGCAAGATCTGCAAGGATGGCTGCTACTTGTGCGCAGCAAATCAGTACTTCACCCAGTCCAGAAGATGGTAAATTTTCTTGAGCAATCTAAGTCATATATGAATCTCTCTCTTTCTCTCTGTATGTATTTGTGTGTGTCCACATGTAATCTCTCTCTCTCTCTCTCTCTCTCTCCCCACACACTCCCCCCTCTCTTTCCTTTCCTCCTCCTTTGTGTACCTGTTCGTGTGTTTGTTTCATGTTGCATGTTGCATTTGCTGAAAAACAGGAAATTGAATCTTGAAGCATATCAATGTTTACTTGTAATTTTGTCTATACTTTTCGCAAATTTGTGCTAATTTAAATACACACACACACATATATTTTTCAGGTTTTACTGAACTCTCAAGTGCATTAGCAGAGGCGGCGGTAGCCCATTGCCAGTTAATAGTTGTTTCCAAGTAAGTCCTTGTGCCAAATGTATCAACTCTATTTATATTTTTCACTAAATTGTATCTCCCACTTTGGCATCTTAGATAGCAATTTATTAGTGAATGTCATTGTGAGGTATGTTTGAAATGAAAATGTGTCTGAGAAACTAATAATGTATCTTCAAATGAGATTCCTAGATATTTATTTTTAAGTAATTTCTTGGGAGATTATCAAAATTTTTCCTTTTCTCTGGATAATTTCAAGAGCAACTAAATAAGAAAAATATGAGAGTCAAAAGCTTAAAAAAATTAAGGGAAATTTATCCTAATTACCCATAAGAGATGAACAATATAACATTTTACTCATAATTTTTATTTAATTTTAAAATGCCATAGAAATCCACATGATAAAAAATTGGAATACTTGCAAATCGGTAAAATGTTGAGTAGTCCATCTCTTTTGGGTATTTTGATAAAAATTCCCAAAAAAACTTTTTACTCATAAATTTTATTTAATTTTAAAATGCCCATAGAAATCCACATGATAAAAAATTGGAATACTTGCAAATCGGTAAAATGTTGAGTCCATCTCTTACGGGTATTTTGATAAAATTCCCAAAAATAAAAAATTTCAACTAGAGGGAAGGAGATAGTTTCAGTCTCTGTATATATCGTGTTCCAAATTTTAGACGAGTTTCTACAAATTTACTGGTTTATAAACTGTAATTTGTCTGAAATGTATTATGCAATTTTCTTTGAACTTATATTTAAGCATACTTTTGGTTGTTAAAAAGTTGAAGAAAGAAGGAAATTTCTTAAGATATTAAGATCAATATCCTTTTATTGGGAAAGAAAAAACTTTTTGTACCTTTTTAAGATCGTAAAAGAAGGGTCTATCTCAAAATAACTTCTGCTCTTTGGGCTTAAACATTGAGTCTTTGTATAGGTTCATTGACAAATTACAGCAAGACATACCAGGAGCGGGAGTAAAGCATCAACTCAACAACCTCTGCTTTGTTTATGCTCTCTCTCTCCTCCACAAGCATTCAGGCGACTTTCTCTCGACTGGTTGCATCACCCCTAAGCAAGCCATGCTTGCGAATGAGCAGCTCAGGTCTCTGTATGCCCAGGTCAGTTTATACATCCCTTCTGTTAGAACTTGTGGTTCTTATGCTTTTACTTGTGTCTAATGGATATCATGTCTGATCTTTTTGCGCCAAACACATTATATCAATTACCCAATGGTTTGAAATTATAGGGAGGTTGCATGATTCACAGTGATGCTCTTGTTTATTTTCTTTCATTTTGTGAAAAATGATTTTTTGGGGGTTGGAGGGAGAAGGGGTGAGAGACAGTAGAAGGGGTGGGGGTGAGGTGTGGCCATGACTCAAGTTTATTCCTGTTTCTTTTTCTTGCATGGTGAATTAGCAACCGTGAGAGAGACAGAGTGTCGTTATTCAAACTTACCATCATCATGATCTTTTTTTCTCAGCTCCGCCCAAATGCATTAGCATTAGTTGATGCCTTCAACTATACCGACCATTTCTTAAACTCCGCCCTCGGCCTCTATGATGGCAATGTTTATCCAACATTATACGAGCAGGCTTGGAGAGACCCTCTCAACGAGTCTGTCGTGCCTGAAGGCTACGTGGAGTATATCCGCCCTCTTCTGAAGCAACAACTGAGGATTTCAAGACTTTGAAGCTCCTTAAAAGTCCTACGCTAGCCCTCTTCTGAAGCAACAACTAAGGATTTCAAGACTTTGAAGATCCTTAATTTCAAAGTCTTACAACAATGACATTATCTATTTTTTTATACTTGGTGTTATGAATAATGGTCCTTAGATTGGTATACTGAAGATTAGTAAGGGAACTGTTCAGGGAATAATAAAGGAACGCTTTGTGGGTCTGTTGGTCTTCACCTAGGAAGAGATATCTCAAGAGAGAGAGAGAGAGATTATGTTGTGTATTATGATAGAAGGTTAAGACCGTTAAGTTAATTGTTAATGACCATAATTGCTGGTTATTGAGAATAAAATTTTTTCTAAGGACAATTGTTTGTGAGCAAATCAGTGGGTTAATGTAGCACGAAGTGTTTTCCATGTTTTGTTTGTCATCTCTCTCTCTGGGACAGGTCCGGGTCCAAATATTAGACTTGAGTACTATTTGGGTCCAGATCTATGTGGAACTAATCGGGATTTGACCCGAATGGTATTATTATTTACATAATGTTTAATATATAACATTTTAATATATATATATATAGTCATCTAAAAAAATTAGAAAAGAAAAAAGCTTTTTAAGACCTCAATCTTAAGCTTTTTGTCAAAATGGACGGTTTATGTTAATTGGGTTAAAACAGTACTTTCGAAATTGTGTTTTTAAAATTTTCTTTTTTGTGATTGTTCATTATAATGAAAAGAGTATTAGAATGAAAAGAGTGCAAATTTTAAAATTTGAGTCAATCAGAAGGCCCGAACATGATTTTTGAAGGTTGTTGCATTATATTACTATATAACAGTTGCATGAAATCATTGTTATATATATACAATTCTAGCAATTTTTTTTTTGTGATTGTTCACCTATTTTTGATGTACACGTTTTAAATTTCAAGTGATTTGAATTCGTAGAAAAAAAAGTTAAATTTCAAACACTACCAGACAACCGTGATCGTCAGATCGGTTCAGATTTAATTTGGACCGTTGGGCTATTTTTTCCTGTAAGCTAGTGGCTCATCCTAGCAACTTCTTATATATAATTTTTTCTATGAGCTAGTGGGCTCATCTCAGCATCTTCTTATATATAATTTTTCTTGTGAGCTAGTGGGCTCACCCTAGCATCTTCTTTTATATATATATATATCATATATATAATTTTTCCTATGAGCTAGTGGGCTCACCTTAGCATCTTCCTTTATATAATTTTTATTATGAGCTAGTGAGCTCACCCATGCATCTTT